TAAAAAATATAGGAAACAACACATGACAATGATGAAGTTATAATTCTTGTACATTGGTAGGAATGCAAAATGTTACAGCCACCATGGAAAATATCATTAAAGGTGAAAGTAACCCATGTGTCCATTGACAGATGAATGAATAAACAAAATGTTGGTATATATGTATATATAAAATAAAATATATTATTTAGCTGTATAAATTGTAATACATGCCAAAACATGGATAAACCTTGAAGATATTATGCTAAATGAAAAAAAGCATGACCTAAAACAGAAAAATATTGTATGTTGCTACTTATATGAAGTACCTGGAAAAGTTAAGTGCACAAAGACAGAAATTAGAATGGTTGCCAGGAGCTGGGGGACTGGGGAATGAGTAGTTACTGTTTACTGGGTATGGAGTTTCAGTATAGGATGAAGAAGAAATGGTGGAGACGGAGAGTGGTGATGGCTGCACAATAATGTGAGTACTTAAAATCACTGAACTGTACACTTAAAAACCATTCAAATGATAAATTTCACATTATGCATATTTTACCACAATAAAAGGGATTAAGAAAAATATACCATAAAAACACTAATCAAGAGAAAATTAGAGTAGCTATTTTAATGTCAGACAAAGCTGATTTCAGAACAGAAAAATTATCAGGGATAAAGAGTGCTAAAATTACATAATGGTAGAGAGGTCAATTCACCAAGAAGAAATAACTATCATTAATGCATAGGCACCTAGCAAGAGTGTCAAAAAACTGACAGAATGGCAGGGAGAAATAGACAAATACACTATTACACATAGTTGGAGAGTTCAACACCCCTCTATTAGTAAGTAACAGATCGAGCAGGCAGAAAATCAGTAAGGATATAGTCGAACTGAACAGCATGATCAATCAACTGGATCTTGCAGCAGACCCTGGCCAGAAGAGTCTGTCTGTTGTGGCTTATGGTGAGAATGAATGTACAGGCAACAATAACCTTGTGGACAAAAAGGGAACAGGCACAACCACTCTCTCAAGGGGAGAGTACCTATGGATGCCTCAGCCACTCCCACAAAAGAGGAATGTCTCGACCCTTGCCTAGACAGGCTTTTATTGTTTTTGGGGGGGTCTTACATCAGAGAAAGATTTATTATCTATTATATAGAATATTATTGTCTACATTTTAGGTATAATCAAGAAAATGAAAATATCATGCAGAGGGGAATGGCAATGAGCTGATTAGCTCTGTCTTTGGGACAACTCATACAGGCTTTGGAAATTATCTTGAAGATAGACAATACATACTTGTTGGTTTAGACTAGGGTGATGGAGTTTTAGTAAGAGCAAGCCATAACAATCTGTATGCATTTTCTAGGCCTGATTCCCATGGGAAAACTCGGTTTGAAGGTCTGGATCCTGCCCATTATTTCTGTTATTTAAAATAACAGAAATCATACAAAGTATGCTCTCAGACCACAAAGAATTTAAACTAGAGATCAACAGCAGAAGCATAGTTGGAAAATCTTAAAATATTTGGAGATTAAATGACACACATCTAAATACCACATGGGTCAAACAAGAAGTCACAAGACATATTTAAAATATTTTAAACTAAATTAAAATGAAAACACAACTTGTGGAAAATGGTGGCATGAGGCAAAAGCAGTGCTTTGAGGAAAATTTATAGCATTAATATGTATATATTAGAAAATAAGAAAGCCCTAAAAGCTTCCACCTTAGATTAACTAGAGAAAGACAATATAAACTTAAAATCAAGAGATGAAAAGAAATACAAAAATTGGAGCAGAAATAAGTAAAACTTAAAACAGAAAGTTAATAGACAAAATTAATGAAACCGCCTTCTCACTATGTCTTCACATAGCCTTTTCTTGGTGTGTGAATGTGGAAGGAGAGTCTGAGATCTTTGGTGTCTTCTTATAAGGACAGTGATCCTATTGGTTTAGGGTTCCATCTTTATGGTCTCATTTAACCTTAATTATGTTCTTAGAAGCCCCATCTCCATATGCAGCCACACTAGGGGTTAGGGCTTCAATATATAAATTTTGGATGAACACATCATCATTCTGTAACAATGCATATAGATAGAAAATCTTTGTTTATGCATTTTTCACATTATTGGAGTCTTACTTTATTTAATTTATGTAATTCACTGTGGCATTTAGTTACTGTACAATAGTTCTTATATAAAATATCTCATTTTAATTGTCAATGAACTTTTTTTACATTGTTATAATACTGTGAACAATGTTGCCATGAACCCTCATATTTATGCCCCCAACTGGATATGTGCAAAACTTTTTAGAATATAAAACTTGAGAGGGACTGCGCAGTCCAAGACAATGAAGATCTTTCTATTGTATAACATAATGCCATACTGTTTCTTTATTAGAAAAAATAAAACTTCTTAAAAAGTACACATGACTGTCAACAAAGAGCAGCTTCTAACATAATTTTTCTATTCTATTGCTGTATTTTTCTGTCTATAATGTGCTCCTGTGTATAATGTGCACCCATGTTTTTTGACCCAAACTTTCAGGAAAATAATCTTTCATATGAAAATATGCAGGTTAATTGTAGCATTATAATTGATTGCTTTTAACACAAAGCAGAACAAATTAATAACATGAATATTCACACATCTTTACCTAAAATAACAAGCACATGATATTTATCTTCTAGGTGGCTTTGAAGAAATGGAGTTGGAGATTAAATAAATTTGGAATTAATTTTGTAAGAGGTTCAGTAGAAAACAGCTCTCGAATGGTCATTCTAAGGCATTGTGAGAAAACTGTACCAGAGAATGCTGACTCCATAACTTTTGAGAGGACCAGGATATACAGAAACCACCATCCACTTCCTAGGCTACCATTGTGATGAGGGGATATAATGGTCCTCATTCTTTTGTTTGGTGAGTGTAAGTATTAGCATGTTTTTGCTATTTTTGAAATAGCATAGGGTTCAGAAATAAGAGATTTTCATTGACACACTCAACTTCCAATTTGGTTTGTTACAAACTTGGAATTACATTTTCCCTAATGCCAACTAAGAAGGAAAAGGCTTTTTGGAATCACCAGGTTCCTGGTTGCTGCTTTGAGATTATTATCATTCCAAGGATGAACTCTCCAAGGATGAACTCTCCTATTGCCCGCTATCAACAAACAGTTCTTCCCTCAAGGGAACTGAAGGCCAAGAAGCAATTATTTCATTTGTCTCTAATTTGGAGGTGGGGGTGTGGAGTTAGTCACTCACCCTACCTGGACTTTTTCTCTATGATTTCTAAAGTTAGAACTCACACCCATTGCTCAGAGTTGTAAACAAGTGTGTCTATATATCTGTGTCACTTGGTTTTCAACTGATAATTCTCCCTGTTGTGATGCATCTTTGAGACCCTTAGAGACTCCACCTGCTTCATTATATTATATTCTAAAGGAAGAATATTCCCATGCCTTGTAGCTGAAGGCATAAATGCTCATCACCTAAGAGGCAATGAAAGGTCAGGAATGGAATTCACATTCAGTAATGTGGCTGCATGTGTTTGTGTGTTTGTGCGTGTCCATTGTAAGTTATTGATCTCTAGCTTGGCTCCACACACTTCACACCAGATAAGAGCAGAAAACTCCATGTAGTGACCCTTTCTCAGTTCTCAAAGAGAAAAACCTTAAAAGATTTTATTATTTATTTTTAGAGAAAGGGGAAGGGAGAGAGAAAAGAGGGAGAGAAACATCAATGTGCAAAAGAAACTGGCTCTCTCTTGCCCACCCCCAACCAAGACCTGGCCTGCAACCCATGCATGTGCCCTGACTGGGAGTTGAACCAGCAATCTTTCTGTTTGCAAGCCGGTACTCAATCCACTGAGCCACACCAGCTAGGGCAAAGATAGGAACTTTTAGACTGAATAGATGTTTACATAGAAGGTGGATTCCATTTTTTAATAAATAGCCCATCCTGTTCTCTTTCCCTATTATTTTTTATATTCACATGGGCAAATCTAAGATTAGCTGCCCTGAAAAGAAAGACAAGTGATAGCATTGGAAAAGTGTAAGAAGTGTTAGAGGATGACAAGAAAAGTGTCAATTATGAATCACTGGCATAAAAACTAGGTTAGGAATTGTGAAAAAGAAAGTGTTATTTGATAAACTATGCTGAACACTTACAAAGTTTATTCTTCAGCAGATCCACGATATGACTGAAAAAACAAAGTATTTCCTGGTATTCTGAGAACCTGAATAAGAGTGATCTGGTAAGAACTAGGGGGAATATGGTGGGAATGTAGAAGAGAAACAGACTTTTTCTCCATGTTCCAAAACAATTTCTTTGGAAAGAGTGTTGCCAGACTGAACATGTTGAGGGGTGAAAAGGAATTTTCTTAAAGGATGGACTGATGGCTATGTAACAAAGTACGTCTCTAAATCTACATTATTGGCATGGATTCTTGTCCTCAATGCCCTTGTCTTGAGCAGCTACATACAATGTTTCCACCAAGATACCAACTCCTGGTTTCTGGGAAGTCCAGAGCATTCCACTGGGTTCTTGTCTTGGCCTAATCAATGGAAATAAAGCAGTGTCATTAATTAAGTATTGTTGGAAATAGAAAAATATTATAAATCAGTCAAAGTATGTGTGAGAGGCATGAGGAAATTTAAGGAGAACAACAGACCACTTGGAGAGTCTCTACTAGTGTTACTAATAACTGGTTACAGACCTAGCCTTGCACCCTAATTTTCTAGTCTCAGATTTCTGTCATGAACTCTTGGACTCTTCAGACTTGAATTTGATCTGCTATGATCATCATTCTGATGTTTCCTGATATCTCCAAAAGCAATTCTGCTGGTTTCTAGGTGAACATAAAATATCCTGACGTTAGACCATCACTAGCACACTAGTGGGCGAAAGGCATGAGCTATTCAGGTTAAAATCATGTACTGACTAACTTTCCTATTTCTATTACATGGTAGTCATAATGATTTCACATTTCCATCTCTTTTTTCATCTATAGCAAAACAAAAGAAGACCATGATGAGGGAGAACCAGAGCTGCGTGTCTGAGTTCCTCCTCCTGGGACTCCCCATCCAGCCAGCGCAGCAGGGCATATTCTTTGCCCTGTTCCTGAGCATGTACCTGACCACAGTGCTGGGTAACCTGCTCATCATCCTGCTCATCAGGCTGGACTCTCACCTACACACGCCCATGTACTTCTTCCTCAGCCACTTGGCATTTACTGACATCTCTTTTTCATCAGTCACAGCTCCAAAGATGCTCATAAATATGCATACTCAGGATCAATCCATCTCACATGCTGGATGCATTTCCCAGGTATATTTCTTTTTATTTTGGGGTGATCTTGACAGCCTCCTTCTCACCTCAATGGCCTATGACAGGTACGTGGCCATCTGTCATCCCCTCCACTATACCACCATCATGAGTCAGAACCTGTGTATTTTGCTAGTAATTGTATCCTGGGTCCAATCCTGCGCTTCTGCCCTTTTGCATACCCTTCTCCTGGCCCATCTCTCTTTCTGTGGGGACAACACTGTCCAGCACTTCTTCTGTGATCTCTCCACCTTACTTAAGCTGTCCAGCTCAGATACCACAGTTAATGAGCTGCTCATCCTCACTGTGGGGGTGGTGGTGATTACCCTGCCATTCATATGCATCCTGGTTTCATATGGCAGCATTGGGGCCACAATCCTGAAAGTCCCCTCCACCAGAGGCATCTACAAAGCCTTGTCCACATGCGGCTCCCACCTCTCTGTGGTGTCTCTGTACTATGGGACAATTATTGGGCTGTACTTTTTTCCTTCACCCAACAGCTCGGACAAGGATGTCATTGTGGCTGTGCTATACACCTTGGTCACTCCCATGCTAAATCCCTTTATCTACAGTCTGAGGAATCGGGATATGAAAGGGGCTCTGGGAAATATACTCAGTAGAGGAATATGTTCCCCTCGATGATCAGAGTTGTCTTAGTCATTGGATAGAAGACCTGCTCCATCCTGCACACCACAATGTGAGCATCCTTTCCTGCCTGAATTGGTGCTTCATAACAAGTATTCATGCGGCACCCATTCTTCTGTCTTTGTTTCAGCTTGGACTTAGTTTTCTTCTCTGTTTAATTTTCTTGTTCATTTTAGAATTATGCAAAGGGAATATTAAAAACATACCTGCACTGCTATTCTTTTCTAAATGTCTTTTTTAATTTTTCATATAATATCCTTTGTCCTATAAATATCTTAAATGTTTATGCAGCCACAGTTTTATTTTCTTATAGTTTACAAACTTTAACAAAATACTCCTGCTGGCAGTTTCATGATTTTATATTTGTGTTTAATTTTTAATACATTTGGAATTTATTTTTATGAGTGACATTAATTAAAAATTGAGTTTTATTTTTGTTTCTAGCTTCTTATCAGTTGCCCAAATCTTTGTTTTCAGTTTTGTTTATAGAGTGATGGTATATCACTTTTTCTTTTCTTAAATTGAGTGGGCATGGTCACAAAATGAAGTAAGGTGTTTTTCTATAAAGGGCAGGAAAACAGTCTAGAAAGGACTGGTAAAGGCCCCAGGTGGTAAACTCAAATTTGGGGGGAGCCCTGTGTGCCCTAGAATGACCAAATGAGAGTGAAACATGGAAGAGAACTAGAGATTTTAAAGCAGCTTTCAGATTTCCTGCCAAGATGGAGGCATAGGTAGATACACAGTGCCTCCTCACACAACCAAAATAAGAACAACAAAAATTTAAAAAGAAAATAACAACCAGAACTGAAAATAACAACCAGAAATGACAGAAAATTGAACTGTATGGAAGTCAGAAAACCAAGGAGATAAAATAGACACATTCATCCAGACTGGTAGGTGGGGCAGGGTCAGGCAGCCAGGTGGAGAGTGGTTGTGGCACAAAAAGTGGTGGCACCGGGCATTCAAGGCACCCCGAGCACACAAGATGGCAGTGGGAGGACCCTGGGTGCACAGGAGGCAGCTGGCAGACCCCGGGTGTGGGATGGCAATGGGCAAACCCAATGAGGCAGCAATTGTGAAGCGTGGCACTGCATGCAATGCAGCTTGCTGACTGGGTGGTCCCACATTTGTGCGCAGATAAACCAGGCAAAATTGGGGAGTGAGACAGACTGCACAACCCAGGGTCCCAGCCCTGGGAAATAAAGCCTCAAAACACTGATTGAAAAACACCTGTGGAAGCTGAGGCTCAGGGAGAGACTCCCAGCCTCACAGGCAAGTTCATTGGGGAGACCAACAGGGTCCTAGAACATATACAAGCCCACCCACATGGGAATCAGCACCAGAAAGGCCCAGAGTGCTTGGGAGAAGTGGCGTAAGGGACTGAAATCTGACAGATAGCTGAGCAAGTGCCATTGTTCTCTCTGGGACCCCACCCCCACATACAGTATCACAACCCAGCAACTGGGTTGCCCTGCCCTGGTGAACACCTAAGGCTCCACCCCTCATATGTAACAGGCACCTTGGACCAAAAAAAAAAAAATGGCCCAAATGGAAGAACAGATCAAAGCTCCATAGCAAATACAACTAGGTGACCAAGAGATAGCCAACCTATCAGATGCACAGTTCAAAGCACTGGTGATCAGGATGCTCACAGAATTGGTTGAATTTGTTTGCAAATTAGATGAACAAATGAAGGCTACACGAAGTGAAATGAAGCAAAATGCACAGGGAACCAATAGTGATGGAAACAAAACTGGGATTAAAATCAATGGAGTGGACCAGAAGGAAGAAAGAAACAACCAAACAGAAAAGAATGAAGAAACAAGAATTCAAAAAAATGAGGACAGGCTTAGGAACCTCCAGGACATCTTTAACTGTTCCAACATCTGAATTAAAGGGGTACCAGAAGGGGAAGAGGAACAGTCACGAGTGGAAAACTTATTTGAACAAATAATAAAGGAGAACTTCCCCATTCTGGCAAAGGTAATAGACTTCCAGGAAGTCCAGGAAGCTCAGAGAGTCCCAGAGAAGGTGGAACCAAGGAAAAACACACCAACGCACATCATAATTACGTTAGCCAAGACTAAAATGAAGAAGAGAATCCTAAAAGCAGCAAGAGATAAGGGGACAATCACCTACAAAGGAGTTCCCATCAGACTGTCAGCTGATTTCTCAAAAGAGACCTTGCAGGCAAGAAGGGACTGGAAAGAAATATTCCAACTCATGAAATACAAGGCCCTACATCCATGATTGCTCTATTCAGCAAAGCTTTCATTTAGAATGGAAGGACAGATAAAGTGCTTCTCAGATAAGGTCAGATTCAAGGAGTTCATCATCACCAAGCCCTTATATGAAATGTTAAAGGGACTTATCTAAGAAAAAGAAGATAAAAAACATGAACAGTGAAAGGACAGCAAACTCACAGTTATTAACAACCACACCTAAAACAAAAGCAAACTAAGAGGACAGCTAGATCAGGAGCGGAACCATAGAAATGGAGATCACATGGAGGGTTAGCAACAAGGGAGTGGGAGGAGGAGAAGGGAGGAGAAGGTACAGCAAATAAGTAGCATAGACAGTAGGTAGAAAATAGACAGGGGGAAGGGCAAGAATTGTATGGGAAATATACAATCTAAAGAGCTTGTGACACATGGACATAAACTAAAGGGAGGGAATGGTGGGGGAGGAGGTATGCAGGGTGGATAGGGAATGAAGGGGGGGAATGGGACAACTGTAACGGCATAATCAATAAAATATATTTAAAAATTAATCTTTAATTTATATTTGCCTTAATTACTGAATCTTTGGTAGCTCTCAAATTTAGCACTTGAAGCAAAATTTTCACATGTGTTTCATTTGCCTCACTCTAATCTTGCCCTAATTAATCAGTAACACTTCTTTAAAAAATCACAGTTAATTTGTATTTAAGTACTAGAACTAACTCTTAGCCTTCTTCCAAAATAACTTAAAACATTGTTGGTGAACTTGGCCAGGTGTTTTAAATTTCCAATGGACTTTAGAAAGGAGTAGGAGCATTTGTTTAGTCCAATGAATGGAGCTGCTACCAGCAGTTAGTGCTCAGTGGCCAGTCCTGCTGAATGGCTTGAAATGCACAAGACACACTGCCCAACAAAAAATTGCCCTTTTCAAAGTGTTAAGAATACCCTCACTGACTGGCTTATTTCACTTAGTGTAATACTGTTTAGGCCCATCCATGCTAGAAAGAGTATGAGTTTCTTCCTTTTTTCACAGACACGTCACATTCCATTATGTAAATGTACCCCATCTTTTTTATCCATCCCATCTACTGATGGGCACTTGGGCTGGTTTCAGATTTGGGCTATTTTTAATAATGCTGCTATGAACATAGGGGTACATTTATTCTTTCTGACTGTTTTTTCAGGATTTTAAGGATATATCCTCCAATACCATATGATCTCACTCACATGGGGAACCTAAAGAACAGAATAAACTGATGAACAAACAGGACCAGAGGTATGGATACCTGGAACAGGCTGACAGATCCCACAGGAAAGGGGGTGTGGGGTGGGGGACTGAAGATTAGCCAAAGAACACAGAAATATATATGCATAGCCCATGGATACAGGCAACAATGTGGTGAAGGCCAGGGCCAGTGGGGGCTGGGTGGAGGGGGACAAAGGTGGGAGAATGGGGATGTCTGTAATAATGTTAACAGGAGAAACCTGGTTCTTCTTGCTGAAGCAGTAAAGAATTAGAGATCAGCAAGCCTTTTAGTATGCAGGCAAAGTTTATTAGTGCTAAATTCTAATGGGAGAGCAAAAGCAAGGGTGGCAAGAGCCTGGGATGGCCAAAGGTTGGGTGACCAGCACCTGGATGACCAGAGGCCGGCGAGAGAGTTCTTTGTTCTGAGGAATATGAAAGTTGATATACATGGAGCCATTTTAGAATAGAACAAGAGCAGCCATTTCAGAGAAACTGCCTTGCACATCTTGCTTCTTGAAATCTTGCACTGTTCAGGCTGGACAAGATCTTTGGACTGTACCAAACCTGCACTGTCTTACAATTGTTTGTAAAGCCAGCAGGACAGCAGACATCCTGACCGCCAACTCATGGTTCTAGACTCTATGTGAAGACAGAATCAGTAATCAATCTGGTACAGGCAAGAGTAGCTCAGGTTATTAGAACCAACATGGATTCTACTTCCTTCCATGTAATCATTCCCTTCCTTTTATTATTAAAGCCCTTTGTATTCACCTGTAATAGGGTTACCATTTGGATTTCTGCCTGAATCTGTGCTGCCCAAATTGCAATTCTTTGATCCCAAATAAATGCTTGTTGCTTTTCATTTCAGTATTTTAATTTTAGGTTGACAGGAATAACCTTGGAAATTGGATGCTATTGTCTACATGGTGGGGCAAAAATAGGTTCATGATTGTTTATATGAAAAATAATACAATAATTAATCAATAAGAATACAAAAATACATTGTTTCATGTACTTACAACTGTAACCTATTGTACTTTTGCCACACCATGTACATTTCAGGAAAATAAGTGAACTTATTTAATAGATTAGGCATAGTGAAGCTCTTGTCTATCTTTCTCCAGAGGGAGCTTAAAAAGATAGAGGAAGCTGCAATCCAGGGTCTAAAATACAGGTATTAGAGAAGAAGGATGAAAACTTGAAATGTTCTTCCCAAATTTTACACCTAGAAAATTCATTCATGATGAAGCTCAAATTATAGCTCCTTTTCAATACTCCTCTATTTTTTTGTTAAAACTAATTACTCTAAAGTGATGTCAGCAGGAATGGCAGAGTAAAAACCCTGAAATATACCTACTCTAACAAAAAAAATAAAATCTGAAAATAAAATATCTAAAAATCCTATTAAAACTCAATTCATTTCCTGAAATTTTCTAAGAACTTAGGAGTTATGAGGTGAACTGTGGGGACTAGGAACACTTGAAGATAAAATATTGGATAAAAAATTCTACACATTTTTGAATTCATAGAAATACTTACTTGTTCCATCTAAAAGTAAAAAGTTTTTTTTTACTTTTGAGTGATCAATCCATCACTCATAAAAATCAAACATCTTTACTCTGTGTCTTAAAACTCACTTTGGCATCTGGTGTCTATAAAATCTTGGTTCCTCAGTTGGAACTTCCAGTTTAACATTCTAAAACATGCTGCTCCTCTGCCTGGGATCATCGGGATAAGATAGAACTTTGTGTGTCTGCATAATTCTGATTTGTTCAGTCTCAGGTAAAGCAGCACCATCTCTGGGAAGTTTTGCACATGTTCTCTGCCACTAGGCTGAGCTAGTTATTCCTCCTCAGGACGCAGTGTTCTCCACAAATGATTATAATCCTTGGCTGAATTGCTCTGAGGTCAGCTAGCCAAGATGCAAGCCTTCCTTTCACTAACTTCAGTCCTACAGTGTTTACCTCTTTGAGCCTCAGTTTTCCCAACATACCTCTTAGAGCTGTTCTCAGGATTAAAATAGATGACATTAAAGTATATTAAGATTTTAACTGGTACCTGAAACAACGGATGTGACATTTATGTTGTTGCTGAGTATCTGACTGTGTTGGGGAGAAATGATGTGTGAGATGTATTCCTAAAGGACAAGAAAACAGTGTGTTAATAATTATGTAAGGAGAATAAAATTTAATATGCTCTCCCTGAAGGTTCTAGAAGGGCTCGGGATCCCTAGATGTTTGGGTCCTGGGGAAGGAGAAGCTGTATTAGCACCAAAATAGCAAATTCTTTAAAAATGGAGATGTGAAAAACCAAACACATTTTACAACAACTTAAAAATTGGGAGAAGGACCAGTCCTGACAGCTTCAGATTAATGACACCAGTCAAAGTGACACAGCATCCTCAAAGTCTTACACTCCCCACTATCTGAGAAAAGAGAAAATTAAGTCCCATAAAGCACATCTTGTTTTACTCATCCCCCTAACAGGTCTAAGAATGTCATCCAAGGTTGTGAGTGACAGCTGTAAGAAGGAAGACAAGTGAGTTATATTTTCAATAATTTGTATTTACATGGCAAGTATCAGTTGGGAGAATATGTTTTCTTATTCAAGAGTTTTCTCAAGGCCCCTTTCATGTCTTTATTTCTCAGGCTATAAATGAAGGGGTTCAGCATGGGAGTTACCACTGTGTACATCAATGAAGCAATTATGTTATTGTCATTGGAGCTGTTGGATGAAGGAAGAAAATAAAGACCAATAATTGACCCATAATAGAGGGTCACTACTGAGAGATGAGATCCACATGTGGACAAGGCCTTATAGATGTTACTGGTAGAGGGACCCTGGAGGATGCTCACCCCAATGTGGCCATAAGAAACCAAGATGCATAAGAATGGAAGCATAATAGCTGTTAATCCCACAGTAAAGATTACCAGTTGGTTGAGGGAAGTGTCTGAGCAGGACAATTTGAGCAGGGCATCAAGGTCACAAAAGAAGTGGGGTATGGTGTGCTCAGCACAGAAGGACAGCCGGGCTAGGAGGAGAGTATGCAAAAGAGCACAAGCACACGCAATGACCCAGGACCCAGCCACTAGCATGACGCAAATGTGCTGACTCATGATGGTGGTATACTGCAGAGGGTGACAGATGGCCACATACCTGTCATAAGCCATTGAAGTGATCAAGAAACTGTCCAGGTCCGCAAAAAATATGAAAAAAAACACCTGTGAAATGCAGCCTTCATAGGGGATGAAGAGGTGCTGGATTAGCATGTTCATCAGCATCTTTGGGACAGTGACAGATGAGAAACAGATATCAGTGAAGGCCAAGTGGCTGAGGAAGAAGTACATGGGTGTGTGCAGGCGGGAGTCCAGCCTGATGAGCAGAATGATGAGCAGGTTGCCCAGCACTGTGGTCAGGTACATGCCCAGGAAGAGGGCGAAGAACACGCCCTGCTGCCCTGGACGGATGGGTATCCCCAGGAGGAGGAACTCAGACACGCTGCTCTGGTTCTCAGGCTTCATGCTGGCATATTAACTAGAGGGGACTGGTGGAGAAAGTTGAAAGGAAAAGGTAAATTTTCTCAGAATTAAAAAAAAATGACTGTTGTGACATAGCATAATAGAAATGTTCTTTTGGTTCAGGAAGTATCTTCATCCTTATTTTCTTACATTTGTTGTATATTTTGCTGAATGAATGCAGAAAAGTATAGGATATAATATACAGCCACTTTCTTTCTCAATGTGGTCCCATTCTCTGTAGTACTAACAGTTAATGTTTGTTAAACATTGTTCTTGTGCACTGTTTTAAGAGTTTACATGCAGTAGCTGACTCAACAGTCTTAAATATATGAATGAGGTAGGTGCTGCTATTATTTCTACTGTTCAGATGGGAGAGCTGATGCTGACAGTCTCATGTTCACAGCAATAAGAAAAGGAGAAGCTGCAATTTGGACCCAAACATTTCAACTCCAGAGTTTGTCCTCTGGAGACAAAGCAAATTATTTGACATCAGAATCTCATTGGCCTCCACAATTTTGCATGTCATGATCTGTTTAACTCTGTATCCCCTGCTTGCCTACATAATCTATAATTATTTCTAATCTGTTCATTGGTTGTGGACCCAGAATCTATCACAGACAATTAATACATACACAGTATAAATTTGTCAATGAAATAAAAGATGTCACATCCAATTAAATTCATCATGGCAGCTTCTTCAAGAAACATTATCAGGCCTTATTCAAGACCCCATTTAAGCCTAATACTCTTGGGGCCCCATGTTACTTAGTTGTCACATGGCATCACACTCAAAGAAGTGCAACAGAAAAGCCAAAGGTAATTTTAAAAGGGAATTCTAATCTTTTCAGTGTCTCTAAAATAGCCTATGATAGATCTATTTTCTAACCTAGATCATTAATTATTGAAATATCTATGTAACATAATTTTTAAAAGGTAGGAATTCACTATAACATGTCAAAGCTTACTATAAAGCTATACTGATTACAACGATGATGTATTTTTACAAAGATATACCAATAAAACAGTAGCAGAAAACAGAGAGCCTGGAAATAAGGCACATCTATAACAAGCACTTTACAACTGACTGACTGGCATTATAAATCAGTGAAAACAATACAGGCTCTCCCATCAACGATGCTGAGGCAGCTGTCTTTCCACAAGAGAAAAATAACATCCTATCACTACCTTACATTGCACGTTTAACAGTCTCAGATGTATTAAAAACCTAAATGTGAGAAGCAAAAATTTCAGAATCATTAGAGAAAAATTTGTAGACTATTATGATCTTAGGGTAGTAATACATGTCTGAATCAAGACCTCCAAAGCATACAACATAAATATAAATGTGACTGCATTAAGAGAGAGTTTCTTTAGTACAACCACTACTGCTACTGTAGGAAAGCCACAGAGAGAGAAGCTGTAGATGGTAGAATATGTACCGTCCTGAGTGAGCAAAAAATCATCACTCGGGGTACATGCAGAATTCCTTCAAATAAATAAGGACGAGGCAAAAAATACAATTAATATATGAGCTAGAAATTCACAGAAAAATGAAGTCAAAATAGCCAATACATATATTAAAAGAGGATTTACTTTCCAAGCAATGAGAGATGCAAATGAAAACAACAATGAAATACCACTGATAAAATTTTTAAATATATATGAGAACATCATGCAATGACAAGCATGTGAAGAAAAGAAACTCTCAGACATTGCTGTTAAATATTTATGGTAGTTCTTCTACTTTGAATATATCTTATAAAGTTGAAGATTTATATTCTCTTTGGTGTACTATTTTTTCTCCATCTATTCTGTAGAAAGATCCTCACACTTCTTCACAAAGAAAAATATCACATTAATATTTGCAACTTTGTAATAGTTAAGAACTAAAACAACTATTTGCCCAATAGTCAATAAACTAATAAACTGAGGTTAGTTTATTCCTGCAACCAATCCTACCTAGCAGTAACAATGAATGGACTTTATACCACAGTGTCCATATGGACAGATTTTTAAAAATAAATTCTGGATTAAAACAGAGGCAAAATTGTATTTACAATACATTGTATCAAAACACTTAACAACACTATATTATTTATGGTATATATGTATGTGATACAAGTATAAAACACATAAAAAGTATTAAAAGGTATTAAAAAAAACTCTGTGATAGTGGTTTACCCTACCAAGAAATAGCAGGGAAGTAGGAATGGTGGACAGAGCTTTGGCTGTGTCTATAGCATTCTGGGTTGCTTGTTTTAACTGTTGGAAACAAATGTGAAAACATGCCAATATTTGTTAAATCTGAGTGTGGGTACCTGTAGTCATATATCTTTTTTAAACACTAAATAATCAAGATATTGTTCTGAAAAAAGCAGAAACACTTCTAAGGTCACATTCTCCAGAAAATGTTATTGTCTGAGAAGGGTGAGCTGGAGGGTGGAGAGTAAAGCGTGTTCAAACATAGGAGAAATCTGCCTAGGTAAGGTAATTCATGAAAAATATCATCAGTTTAATGCACTGTACAGCTTGGTAATATTTATATCTTTAAAAGAATGACTTCATAATAATCATTGTTAGGAAGGCAGTAGATCTATTTTTCTTATCAATTTCCAACATTCCTTTAATCCTATCCTTTCCTGCCAACAGTTTATAAAAGTTTTACTACTAAAGTTTAATGGAACTACTTTGACCAACCACTATAGCCAATGGGCAAGTTGTCAATCCCAAAGGCCAAATCTTCTGCTCCTAGGCCAGCTGGTCAAGTCTAAGAAAATTATCGTCATAAAGATGCTCTAGGGAAGCAGAGAACCCATGCCCTGATTCTCTCCCATTCTCTCCCATTTAAAGAAGGGGCAAAGACTGCTTCTGTTTCATTCCCACCTAAACATACACTCCTTTAACTTGACCTTATCCAACATGAGGAAAAGAAGCAGAAGCAAGAAGCTAGTGTCCAGAGGTCTCATGACCACTTTGTCAAGTGGATTCAGAAGGTAACAATATACAGCCAACCTGGTTCCCCTACCTCAACCTGAGTGAAAGGAACAGTGTAATCATGAACCAACTTAGTCCAGTAAGTAAAAAGTCAGTCAAATGATAGCTTTCAATGACTACAGCAAAGCAGCCACGAGCTGGCTCCCTGTAGTATCTGGAACCAGATATCAAATCAGAATATTAATGAATGCTTAATCATGAGGTCTCTCAGAAACAAGTGAAGATAGTGTGCTACTTAGTCCTAGAGGCAGAGAAGACTTTCTGCAGATTCTAGCACCTCAGACCCAAACCTGACCCCACAACCTTCATGGATTGTGGGAAATGACTGATGGAACACTCTTAAATTTCTTGAGATTTTTCAGACTCTCTGAGTCAGGTTTTCTCAGGGACATGCAGAACTACACCTGTGTAGTATGACTTCCAGAACATTAAGCCTTCCAGGTGACCCTACCCAAAACACCTCCCTCAACAGCCTGCTGGTACCTTAAACACTTTCATTAAGAGCAAAAAGGCTTCAGATCCCAACTACAGATTCAAATTAAAGGTGAGTATTTCTGGGAATCACAGTCCTCTGTTGACCATTCTCACTGAGGTGGAATGGCTGGAAGCCATATATTTGGGGGGCCAGGTCTGGTAGTCAGACAAGGGTAATGACCTCCACAAAGTGAGGAGGGGTCAGAGTGAGGGTGGGGGTTACAGGCAAAGTGAAGGCAGAGGCTACAGACACCAAAAACAAATTTACTCTTTCCAATTTGGCTGAAATGGCTGAAGTAGGGCTAGAAATAGTCAAACTGTTAATAAAATCTGATTTTGCTCCAGTTGCTTTCCAAATACTTCTCACCTCTTCCTATAATCTTTCAACATAAGCATTCTAATTCTCATGTTGGGAAGAAGAAAATTGGGACTCAGTGATGAAACTTGCCCAGTGCATGGTGAATCTGGGAATTGATACTAGGTTCTGACTGGCTTCAAAAACGAAACTCTTCCTACTATACTATGTGATTATATTATAGACCATATCCTCAAGCAGGACAGTACTTGTTGCCTAGAAACACTCTAGAATGTTAGGAAATAAATCAGAAAGTTTAAGAATGAATGAAAATCTATGGTTTCAAGATATTTGCCTAGGGACTTCTGGCCAAGATGGAGGCATATGTAGACATACTGCGCCTCCTCCCACAACCAAAATAAGAACAACAATTTAGAAACAAAATAACAACAAGAACTGACAGGAAATTGAACTGTATGGAAGTCTGACAACCAAGGAGATAAAATAGACACATTCATCCAGATCGATAAGTGGGGTGGAGTCACATGGCCAAGCAGAGACAGATCATAGCACAAAAAGCTGTGGCACCAGGTACAAAAAACACCAGTGTACAGGTGAGGGTTGGCAGACCCTAGGCATGGGGTGGCAATGGGCAGACCCAGTGAGCCGGTGATTGTGAAGTGAGGCACAGTATGCAGGGCAGCTGACCAGGCAGTCCCACATTCACGCACAGATAAAACTAGGAGAAACTGGGGAGTGACACAGACCACACAACCCAGGGTCCCAGTGCCAGGAAATAAAGCCTCAAAACACCTATTGAAAACACCTGTGGGGGTTGAGGCTGAGGCATCGGGAGAGACTCCAAGCATCACAGGAAAGTTTATTGGAGAGATCCACAGGGTCCTAGAACATACACAAGCCCACCCACCCAGGAACTAGCCCCAGAAAAGCCCAGTTTGCTTGGGGCAGAGCAGTGGAGGGGACTGAGGTCTGACAGAGAAGCGCAAGTACCATTGTTCCTCTCTGATCCTGCCTCCACATACAGCATCACACCCAGCAAATGGGTTGCCTCACCCTGGTGAACACCTAAGGCTCCCCCCCTCATACATAACAGGCATTACAAGGCCAAAAAAAAAATGGCCCAAATGAGAAAACAGATCAAAACTCCATGTTTGCAAATTAGATGCACAAATGAAGGCTACACTAAGTGAAATGAAGCAAAATGCACAGGGAACCAACA